CCCAGACGACGACGCAATCCTAAACCTCGCTTAATCGGTAGTAAGTCTGATAAAGAGGGAAGGTTGAACATGAGGCTAGCAATCCCGTCTCATAAAAACGACAGAACTGGTAGTGAAACTTCTTCAAAGCTCAAGCCTGAAGCCCTATGTTCCATTCGAAACACGAAGGAACAAAGTAATAATAATAATAATAAAGTAAATCAGTTCGAAACACCGGGGAAACGAGGTAATGTGATAATGACAAGCATCAAATACACTACTTTATAACATGTGGCTGTCCTTTATCACATGGTGATTTCTTTACCCTTACCCTTATGTAACTAACATAAGACGTCAAATTGGATGAGAATTTCAGATAAAGAAGATGACGATGAAAAAAATGTGAATGTAATATCGTGATGAATTTGACGGGTAAACTTCGTCATGACCTAATACCAGTTAGAGAATCATTGGAAATCAATGAGTGATCTACATAGTTTCCGTCCTACTGTACCAAATATTTGGGACTACAACCAGGGACGCGAAAGGCAATATTTCCAAACTAACAGATTAAATTCACAGCAGAAGATGAATCTGAGAACAAAATCCCATTTCTGAACGTCTTAGTCAAGCGAGAATTAGAAATTCAAATTTATAGAAAATCAACTCACACGGACAACAACAGCAACGATCCAATATCATACAAAAGGAATTATATACAAACACTATTCAAGAGGGCCAGCCAGGACTCATTGCAGCACTCCCACCTTAAGGAAGATTGCAGAAAGATATTTCATGGACGTCTTCCAAAAGAAGGGATATCCACGGAACTTCATCAAAAGACATATACCCCCAAGCCAACCTATCAAACCAAAAGCCCCCAAGGAAAGCACAAAGAAAATCGCCCCACCATATATGAAGCATATCTCAGAAATCACTGCAAGACTCTTCAAATCTTTAAGAATTGATGTGGCACACAAACTAACAAAATCAATTCACTCAGTTCCATGTCAACCAAAACACTTAACAGCGAAAGAAGATAAAACCAACATCATCTACAATATAAATTGTAAAAACTGCGAAAAACACTAACTAAATTGGCCAAAGTGGACGTCCCCTTCGTCTTCGTATCCATGAACATAAGCTAGCCTTCAAAAGACATGATATCCACTCCCTCATATCACTACATGCAGACAACCACAGACATCCATTCGACTGAGACAACCAGCGTTGAAATATTAGACAGAGGAAACACCAAGAATGCTAGAGAATTTTAAGAAGGCTGCCTGGTATTCCAGTGAATCATCAGCCAATAGACACATCGACATAGACAAAATTTACCAATCGATAAGAATGAAATCTCACACACAAAGGGTCAACACTAATACCGATAGAAGTAGCCTAGAGGATGTGAAAACACACAAAAACAACCAATCACGACATTCAAAGTCACTCACCAGGAAAGATGAATAATAAACTCGTGGAGAAATCTAAAAAGCTCACTTCATCGAATTGAAGTATGCGCTGAAGATGTCACCTAGTTGGGTGATGAAATCTTCACAAATTATCTATCCAGCTCAGAGAACACAACCACATCAAAATCATCCTACACCTGAGCTACAAATCTTCTCCATCATATATGCCCTATATTTTATAGCTATCCTGACTCCCTCACTGTTTCTCTCGAGAAACTTCAATTGCATTACATTATATGACGACAGAAATATTTTACCTAGCTTACTAACTTAATATTTCGATTCACTTATACATACCATGATCGTTTTGAAGTATTGTTTGACAAATATGTTTCTCCAATAAATAAAAATATGTTAATAATTGCAATACAGCTACTAACATTCATTATTTATTAATATCAAGTTGTCGGCAGCTGACATGATACCGATGAAAAAAAATATACAAATGGAGGTGCGTTTTATCCTGCACCGTGTGTTTTTGTTATGACTTTGTTGTTGTTCAAATTCATGAAAAACGCATTCTTGTATGAAATATATTTTATTGAATGACAGTCTCAACACTATGACAACTATAATTAAGTTGTGAATGACTCTGCATTGAATGATAGCTTCTTATATGTGTAATTGACAATCTTAAAGATTATGATATTAGACATTATATATTGGTAGTTCATACAGGAAGAAACCTTGTTTGCATTCTCCTCAGAAAAGCAGAAAGTATATTTCATCAGTAAGCCTTATGTCTTCAACAATATATATATATATATATGACTGCAATTCAAAGATGATATACCAAGCGAAATAACAACCGAAAAGTTGAGGAAATCGATTCAAGGAACTTTAAATGCCAGTATAGTGCAACTACCGATTGATAGCTGTTACCTTGACGTGGTGTTAGCCGAGCTTGCATATCCCAATGACCCAACAAGCTACACTGGCTGGAACTAATGTTTCTCCACGTTCTACCATACCAAGAAGGTTGTTAGAATAGCAATGGGACTTAAAGCAGTTACCAGCATAGTGTTAGATTTGTCTTTTACACTATGCCAGGGGTCGGTGGACAAAGTCGTAATGCTGGGGAAAAGGGATGTAACAGCCACAGTAAACTGTTTCCCTCAGATGACCAGCATGCCAGCCACCTATGTTGTCTCTCCACTCTGAAGAGAGGAGGTTATAAAAGGTCGACCCTAACAATTGTACACCTCAAAGTACTCTACGGTAGTCCGTAACGGGTGGTAAGTCACTAATACAGAACCAAACCAAGCAGCCAGGTCAGACACGCCGTGTGTGACCGGCCACAAGCAGTTGTTTGCTTGGCTCTGTTTGAGGTACCCCAAGAATCAATCAACTTCCATGGTGTGGGCAGCCGGTAAGTAACAACCGCCCACACACTTCCAAGATCACACGAAACCCTCCTAATGGTGAAAATCACATTTACCACACGACCGGTTGTTATTCCTCAACTGTGAAAGACGAAGTAGCTCGGTTAGCCAACTCTTATTGTATCTATCATTTCAGCTGCTTCTGTTGAGTCAATTAAATTGTCTATTGCTTCAGGAACTTAGCTTTTCGTGCTAGGGAACCATCAACTGTTCTATATTAGATCAACGCGTCTAAACAGACTACAAGAGCCTTTTTCTATCATCTATAGAATACTGTAAAAACAAATATCGCTAAATGCCTCTAAATACTGAAGACTCTAGACAGAAGAGGCCAATACAATTCTCTTGAACCTAACCAGGACTTTGTGTGTGTGCATGTGTGCAAAAGAGACGGGTAAAGCCATTATTGTTATCCTGGCCTGCTGTTATGGAGCCTATAAATTATGCTTTTTCTCTCTTAAATTATTTGATATTCAATCAGTTCAGTGTTATAGTGATGCACATTATCACATACAGATGTTTCTGAACTGTAGTCCATTGAGATGTTAATGACTCAATTTTATTTTTACTATAGATGCATATAATTGTAGAACCTGATAATGAAGAAGTTATCGAAAAAAATGAAAAGAATATTCTTTGTTCAATCTCTTGAAATTTCCATTGCTCATCTTTATTCAATGGGAATTTCATCAAATGTAAATACTGTCTTCTTCCTAACGATACACACAAAATATAACTGATGGTCATCTATCTACCTTCCCGACGTATAAACACTATCGATCACATTCATACAAGTGCTCAGTTCAGTAGTTTCTCATATGCTTTATTTCTAAGCGTTTCGAGTGGAATATTACAGAACTTCAAGCTTTGAGCACTGAATTTTATAATAATAATAATAATTTGCTTTATTCCAAAACAGTACTTGTGATACAGAATGGAATTCTCAGCATTTTTTACTACAGTATTGCATCCAGTTTGTACATTATCAATAAATAGAATTCTACATAGATTAAGGAAATCTCAATTCATTATGACAACAATATATTGGCATGTTGGTAGCAAAGCCAAAGTTGAACAGTGTTTGAAGGTGTTAGAAAAGTAGGTGCTATCATATTTACTGGCGTAAGCGAGAGAAAGAAACAAAGCAGCACATAACAGAGAAAAAGAGAGAGAGAAAAGGAAAAGAGAGAAAATGTTGTACCTATAAACGATATGATTTGGAAAGACGAGATCCAGTTTTACTTTTTTTTTCCTTCACGTTCCCCAGTGGAACATAGGGCTTCAAGCTAGTGGCTTGAAGTTTCTGTAGCAGTGTTTATTTTACAGGATGGGGTTGCTAGCCTCATGCCCAACCTTTCCTCTTCACCAGCATTATTTCCGGCTTAGCGAGGTAAAGGAGTGCGTCGGCCGGGGATCGAACCTCGGACCATGTGCATGGTCGGCAAGCGTCCTAACCGCTAGACCACCGACGCCAGTTTTACTACTGACTATTTAATGAATTATAGGTGTCACGCCTAGTGCTTTCTTTATCGCACAGAACACGAGCTAAGTAGGGTATGGTTGAGTTTTTGTACTTGCTGGTGCGAGCATATAGTTTTCTATATAGGCTTCTGGTTTTGCCTGATGAGATGCAAGGGGAGAGTTGTGAGTGAAGAGGGTGGTGTGAGTTAGATAAAATGGATTTAGCCCATTTTTCACATGAGTCCTTGTGCCTGTTGACCAGAATATTAACCAGGTGGTTAAGTGGCACGTTGCTTACCCTGCTGACAACCTTTAACATCCTGCGTAATATGTTATAGTCTTTCTTCAGTAGCCCGGGAAAAACTAAGAGGGCAGAGAACGGTTGTTCGCTAGCCTCCTTTCCGAACTCTCCCCTTTCTTACTATACTTGCTTTAATGCGGTGGGATAATATATTAACATCACGCCCAACCTCCCCCCTCCTCTTTATCGGTTTCACTACCGGGGCCAAGTGAGGTTTAGGAGTACATCGTCGGTTAGGGATCGAACGCCAGACCACGGTATATGGTTCGCAGAGTTCAATAATAACAATAATAATAATATCTCCTGTTTTCAATACATAAATTTTATGCAAAACAACAATACAACACAAAAAATATTTGTCACAAGAAGAAAAAAATCAATAAGAAACAAACAACCACTTACCAATAAGGTGTTCCAATGAATGTATTTCGTTTACCAAATGTTTTATCCAACTGTGCACTGACTCCAAAATCAACTGCAATTCACACAATCGATTGAGAGACAAAGGATCCAGCAAAACGAAACATCATATTGAATAATACGCAGATAAACATAGTTATAAATAGAAAAAGAAAAGAGAAGTACTCGAATGAGATATCATACAAATTAAATAACAGAAAATTAAAAAAAAAAATTCATCTAATCTTACAGAATTGTGTTTTGACTGGATGCAATAATTCTACTAACCATTTAGCAAGTTTATGCGTTGGGGATTTGTACATTGACAATGTAGGATGTAGAAGATTATTGGGTTTATATATTTTCAGCAAACCATACATATGGATATAGCTCATCAGTTTTTTAAAACAACAACCCAAAGGAGAAAAGGGTTTTTTAAACTCCCAGCATTTTAAAGCCTTGAGAGAGAGCTACGAAACCTGAGTAAGGTTCTGGAGTCGTCATTATGATTAAAAGTGACTACAAATCTATTAAATGATGTCTATTCTTGATAACAGAAAGCAAATTTAGCCGTGATCCCTCCTCAGTTGTTGCAGGCCACAGTGACAGCTAATCTCTAGTGAAGAAGCTTCATGGCTTAAATGCTATAAGTAAAGATACATTTAACTCTTTAAAACCATCAGAATGTAAATTCCCGCATATGTATAGTTTGCTGAAAATACGTAAACCCAATAATCCTCTACATCCTATATTGTCAATGTGTGCAAATCCCCAACACATAAACTTGCTAAATGGCTAGTAGAATTATTTCATCTAATCTTCAGCTCAGAAGAAGCAATTAAAGATGAATTTAAACAAAGCAACAACTACAGATTTTGCAGAATAAAATGGTTCATTAAGGGGAACAAATGTATGAAATTAAAGATGAATTAAGCATTGTATATGATACTTTGATCGAAAATGGTTATCCTGACAAATTTATCAAGAAACATATAACAAAGAAAGCGGAAAAGGACTACTCAGTGTCTGTAAACAAGAAACCACTTTATATACGACTACAATTCAAGAGCGATATACCAAGTGAGATAATTACGAAGAAATTAAGAAAATCAGTTCAAAGAACTTTTAATGCTGGCGAACTACAAGTCTTATTTTCTACACGACCGATGGTGCTACCTCGACTGAGAGATGAAGTACTTGAACTAGACTAGCCACTTCAAATTGTATCTACCAATTCAAATGCGCTTATGGTGGAGCGGGTTATATTGGCCGTTGCTCTACGAACTTGATTTTTCGTGATCACTCGAGAACATCTCCCACTATGGCTAAGTAAAGGTGTAGTTAAAACTATTAACAGTTCGATATCAGACCATCTGGTGCAAATCAACCAGTCACACAAAGCCAGGCAGCATTGAAGAATCCTTCTCTGTAATATACCGGGTGTCTAACAAATTACCAAAATCGTCGAAGCACCGCATGCTCCAAACAGAAAAGGCAATTGTAATTCGCCTCGAACAACTAGTGCTCTGTGTTCAAAAGAAGAAAGTCCAGCCAGCCACTACTACTGCCCTGGCCAGCCTTCAGTAGAGACTATAAATTCATGAATTTGTAATATTATCTTTCCTAATTTTTCTGACTTTCAGCTTATTTTATGTTGATGCTGTTCAGATGTAATTTACCAATATTATTGATTTGATGTTATTTAAACAACATTAATGTCGTTCATAAGACTAATTCATTCATTCACTACGATGTATATATAATTGTAGAACCTGATGATGAAGTTATCGAAAAGAGTATTCTTTGTTCCGTGTCCATTCTTCAGCAATCAGTTCGTAGGGATTTGATTTGTTTCAAATTTGATCACGGATTGTTACTACTTACAGAATCATTGAAAATCAAGGAGTACTATGAAGTTGATCGGTCATGGTTTGGGAGTCTATAGAAGTACTCACTCACGATCCCAACGGCAATAGACATATGACTCGCTAATGTCTGGCTACAGAAATATGTTCAGTGAAGTTCTGGTAAGAATTCGTAACCAGTAGGGTTCACCAGGTCGAATACCAGGAGAAATATTCACCGATAACATTGACTGGAGGTTGCAGTAAAATAGCTAATTTACATAGGTTAGAATTTATATGGGTTTGATTCCCAATGGTGTTGTGGGTGCATACTAATGAAGAGAGCCAAACTAGGACGAAGCAGCTGCCGAGTACTCACTGGTTTTCAACGGTTTCCTAACAGATATCAATCCGTGAGCAAATCTGGCTTCATGTAATTATTAGTAGTACTATTATTCTTAGCAAATAGAAATTAGTCGGTTCATATTATTCATGATGAATTTCACCCTACGGTACTTTCATTTAACTTTCCTGATATGCACCCCTTGTATACTTAACTGGTTATTCAATTACCTCGTCGGTTACATAAAGGCTAAATGAGACGGATTAGAAACTAATTATATAACCAGCTCAGAGTGGAACTAGATGGTTTAATTATGTGAAGTTTTTACTGTCCTTTCTAGGGAACTACCTTAAGCGATAACGTCAATTTGAAATGGGCATCATCTAGTACTCTTCGAAAATGAAATACCCATCTTTTCTGACGACACTGACTTACTTTGACTGGATGTTGTCTCCGGAGATTTTCCCCCAGGATTGTGTCTATTTGTATTGTTATTGATTTTGAAGCATATCACTAAGAGTCTCCAAACACTATTACATCGACTGAGATGGTTAGGACATGTGTTACTCATGCATGCCTAGTCATCGCCTTCCTCGCACACGATGTTAGCTGATATAGGGTCAGGTTGGAAAAGAGCTAGCGGCGGTCAAACTAAAACATGGCACAAGTCAATGAAATCTACAACAGTTAGTCTAAGCCACGTAGGAAGGTGTAGACTTCCTGGTTGGGGTCCTCGAGACGGTAAAAACCAATGGTTGGAAACAATTGGTGACATGGTTCAAGATCGTTTTCAGTGGCGCAGATGCATCCACTTCTTTTGACTTATGATTTCCAATTAAACTGTTTTGTTCTTCGTTATTACTATTCCTTTGTCTCACACCTCTGTTTACTGTCTATATTATGCATTTCTCCTACTTTCTTCTCTTCCTTTGTGTGCTAAATGGAGTTTGAGACTTGAACTGCCGCACATATGTGCAAAAATCTATGTCGAAAACAGAGACAGACAGAATTCTTAAAACTACCCACCAAGGAACCTAGTCAGGCAGCTTACACCTAGCAACACCTGGATCAGATCAACCAGCCTGACTATCTCTAAGTCTTTTGCAGCATAGTTATATGTCACCTAACACTGTTTGTCGAAGAAGGCGATGAAATGCATAACCCATGGCCTAACGATCTCAAATGGTTGAGCTTCACACACTGCGTCATCATCCATTGATTTCCTCTTCTCACTTAACACTCTATCTATATTCAAGTGTTGATTTGTAGGGATTTGATTGGTTACAGGATTTTCATCATGAGCTGATATTAGTTAGAGAACCATTGGAAAACCTAGGAGTACTGGACAGCTGTTCCCTCCGTCCTAGTTTGAGACTCTTCAGCGGTACGCACCCACCACCAGGGTTTGAACCAAGGACCTTCTGGTTACAAGGCCAGCGATCTCGTAGATCATTAAGCCACTGGGACCCGATCCAATGGCCAGCTCATGAATTCTAACTTCTGCCAATTCATGACATAGCGCGACCCCTAGCCAATGTCTTCGGCGAGTATTTGTCCTCACACCCGACCTGCTGCACCCTACTGGTCACGACTTCTCACTAGAACCCCAGGTAACTACCTACCTGCATAGGGCAAGTCGCTAGTGAGCATCTCATTGATATTCGGACGAAACAGCTGCCCAGTACTCCCTGGCAGGTTTTCTAATGTTTCTCTAACGGATGTCAGCTCATGATGAAAATCCTGTAACTCTATCTATATGAGCCTAAACCTCATTATTGCGGAGTATAGATAAGACATGCATATTATCTGATATTTTCTGCGATCGTTAGGGTGTAAATTTATGAAATACATAACAACAACTGGAAAAGAAGAAGAAATATAGCTAATAAACTGAGACAAAATAACAAACAACAATGACACTGTAGGCTATGAGATAAATTACAACTATTAATATATAAAAAAAATAATAAGAGGAATTTGTACAGAGAAAAGGCTAGAGAAAAGACTTTACATCATCCAAAACAAACTAGTCAGGAATACAATAGTGAATAATTAAAAAAAATAATAAGTTTAATGATGCATTTATAAATATGCGCCTTAGGCTAAAAATGTGATTTTTCATCATATGAATGAATAACTTTGAAGCAACAAGATATTCGTTTGTTGCTCTTCGTCTGCAATCAAATCCACCGCATCGTTAACTTTGATAAGTTGAGTGATGAAGTCGTTGTTAAAAGTCAACAAGGCACATAAGCCTCATCTTCATAAGAGTGAAAATATAGCTGATGAACACGAAGCAAAGGTCAGATAGAGTTTATGAACTAAATAACTAACTTTCAAGTTCGAATCATGGACTGATATCAGTTAGACAACCACTGGAAACCAGCACAGAGTACTGAAAAGCTGTATCGTCCTACTCTGAGGCTATTCAATAGTAACCACCACCGGGTTTCGAACCGAAGACCCTGCAGTTACATAGCAAGTTCATAGAGCATTCAATCACACTGGTGCCCGACTCACTAACTCTATTCAAACATTTAACACCAAGATTTCAATAAGAATTACTACAGGCGGCGTTTACACAGTGTGTTTTATTATGTAGCCACATCATCCTGCCGAGAACCAAACACGCCCTGGATGGAAAGCTTTGACCGGAACAGCTTGGATTCAGGAGAAACAAGTCATGCATTGATCAGATCACCACATTACGGATCATCACTGAATACAGCTTGGAATGGTAGTCAGCTCTCTACCTCACTCAACTTCATCGACTTTGAAAAGCGTAGGTCGGGAAAGGAAGGCAACCTTTCATTACTCTCAAGTCTGTGTGGAGATCAACACTCAGCATGAATAATATGATCCGGATTTTCAACTCCAATGTGAAGTCAGTGCTACCTACTATACGGACCAGAGAAGTGGCGCCGCATCACGAAGGGCACGTAGAACACACTACAGACCTTCATCAACAGCTGTCTTCGCTCAATACTCCACTCAAGATCAGTTGGCCGGCCAGAAAGCATCAGCGACGGGGAACCCTGTGAACAAACCAGCCCAACAGGAACCAATTGTGCAATAAATAAGCAGGAAGAAATAGAGGTGGATTGGCCACACTCTGGGAGAACAAACCATCAAGTGACATCACACTACAGGCCATCGCTCGAGTGGAACCCGAATGGGAAGCGGCTTGTTGATCGTCAGAATGAGGGTGACATGGAGGAGGTCATGTTAAGAGGAGATGAAAGCATGTGGGCAGATGTGGAGCCAGGTGAAAACGTTGACAGAGAACCGAAAGCAATGGAGACGTGCGACTGAAGCCCTATGTCCCTCCAGGAATTACAGGAGATAATGTAGCCTAGAATGAACTAATCTCCTATCATATCTCTCTACATCACATCGAACTGATTTCGGAGACTTTCACATAATATGACAACTAGCAGTAAAAAAAGAATTTTACCTGATCTCAACCCTATAGGTTAAGAGTTTATAATAAGCTTGTCGAGATTTAACAGAAATTTCAAAATTCTAAGACCAATGCTTCTTCTTCTTATTTTGGATAAAATAATCACAGCGTAGATCACTAATCAGTTGGGAAAATCCAATGGAGTTATTAAGTTCTAACAAGTGTTGACAACCTAATCATCCGAAGAAGAAGAATACTATGAAAGAGTTTATCTACAAATAGTAATACGATAGCAGCATATGAGTCGCTTCTTCTGTAAAAAGCAAGATAAGTACAAGGAGTTTCCTTCGAAGTTTACGCAAGCCAGACTGTATAAAGCAAACAGTTGAAATGGACAATTTTTTTCGCATAAATCCAGCAAGACAGTACCAATAAAATTACAAAATAAGAGAGTAGAAACTACACAAAATGTGTAATTAGGAACCTCAAGTGTTAGGAGACGGTGGGAACCCCTTCAATCGACTAAACGATATGTTTGTCTTAGACTCCTTTACGTATAACTCAGGTGGTTTAGGATTAGAACCACCAGTGGAACATAGAGCTTCAAGCTTCTTGGACTTTGAAGTTTCGGTAGCAGTGGTATTTATCTTTACGGGATGGCGGGTTGTTAACCTCATGCCCGACCTTCCCTCTTCTCCAGTCTTACTACTAGCTGGGCGAGGTAAAGGAGTGCGTCGACCAAGGATCGAACCTTGAACCACCTGCATAGTTGACGAGCATTCTACCGCTGTGCCCCTGACGCACATGAGACTCTACAATCAGTGGGGACATAGAATAAAGCCACTCCAAAAGGTTACTTCATGAAAAGAGAAAATTTCATACAATGATTCCCTTTTATAAATTTGAACAAAGAAAGAAGAAACATTGGAGCAGAATAATCTGGATCCATTTTATTTCGTAACTATTGCTAATTGTCTTTTGTTACCACCTTAACAATACAACTGTAAACTAATTTTTTCAAGAAACTTCTCTCTACCAAGATATATATATGTATATATGTCGTGACACTTTAGACACCCTGTAAATCTCAATGCCTTATTTTACTATGACGCTCTGACACTATGCTTGCTAATGGACAAAGGTTGGTTAAAATTGTACACTTTTTATTTTTAATTAAAAAATTCAGGTTGTACGCAGCTGACGAGAACCAACGAAATAAAATGGATCCAGATTATTCCGCGCCAATGTTTCTTCTTTCTTTGTTCAAAAGAGAAAATCATTAACACATGATTTTTAAACCGTATGAAAGTATTTTGGAAACACAGAGTTGGCAAATGTTTCATTGGAAGAGTAGGAGAAAGAGGAGATTCCTTTAAAACGGGAAAATATTTCTATGACTCATCAGTCGAGTGGCCTTGAACACAACTGAACGATGCCTGAATGCATAAATTACTAATTCGCCCCCCTCACAGTTTTATATTACATACAGTTAAAAAAGGCCAAAATAGAATATTATTGGATAGAGAAAAAATATAGATCCGCTTCAGTACAAATTTAAGGTGGGTTTGAAGAAAGGCAGAAGGCGGGGGGAGACAATGGTTAACTGTCCCCCCCCCCCTTTATATGTGTGTGTAAACCTAATAAAATGTCAAAATATTACTTTTATTTTTCTAAAACACGAAGCTGAAAGAAAGAAAAGAATTTGTCAACATAAAGGGAGGGAGGATACATACATACACACTCAGAAAAGTAATCACCAGCACTTCCATGCTGAAAACACAACAATCAAAATGATTGCGTTAACAAAAGAAATATTCATTTATAATTTACTGTTATATAAATGAATGAACTTACCAAGCTTAACCTCAGCATTATCAGTGAGCAATACATTTTGACCTTTAATATCACGATGAATCACACGATTTGCGTGTAAATGCATAAGACCCTGTAGGAGAAAAATAAGACCCGAAATATGGAATATTTATAGATGATTGCAAAATTTTGTTTAAATACACTTTATAACGGTTAATGGAGAAATTCAAAAAAAGGTGATATCATATCCATTTGTCGACTCATCAGCGAGAATGTTCGTAATTCTAAATGCCAGAGCAGTATCCCTTACGCTAAGATACTTACGAGATATTATTATAGCCCTGATTTCTATTCTCCGAAAATTCAGACCAATACAACTGTGAACGCTTTGTCTTACGACGAAACTAGCTGATATAATTATAAATACCAATATTAGGCAACAGTGTAGAAAAGATAATTGGTGGATGGTGACTAGCAGTGGAATCCAGGATAACGCGCATTTCGTCCTATTTGGGACTCGTCATCTGATGAATATGTCTGTACAAGAAGCCGACATGTCAACCTGAGACCGAGCACTTCGGTCCAATCAATCGACGGGAAAACCTAAAATTGAATTTTAAAAAAGTGTAGAAAAGACACCACAGTCAGGCGACCTTGAATCAGCCAATCAGATCGTCCGGTAGTACAAATGGATACTTTCTATAACCTTCGCTGCAAGTTTCACCCTAACCTTAAGCCTAATTTGGGGTGAAACTTGCAACAAAGATAATGAAAAGCATTCATCTGTAGCGCTAAGAGATCTGATTGGTTGGCTCAAGGTCATCTGACTGTAGTGTCTAGTTTTTACTGTTGCCCAATATTCCCTCTAAATTTGTTCCATGTCTTGTGTTCCCGAAAGAATATACGGAGCTTCAAGATTTGACGTTTCAGTAGCAGTGGTGTCTATGCCCACTTTTACGGTTAAGCAAGCCATCAGCCAGGAATCGAACACAAAACACCAGAGTGACTGGTGAACACTCTACCATTCAGACGTCGACGCGTAAAAACCACGGAATACTGGATGGGGATTTCGTTCCAGTTTGAGAGTCCTCAGCAATACTCACCCATGACCCAACTGTGGATCCAACTCAGAACTTTAAGGTTAAGAGGGAAACCTTCTGACCACTCAGCCTCAAAATAAAAGTCAGAATTGTGTTTCAGCCAAGGCAGTTAAGTATACTATTAAAATAGAAAACTACAAACTTGTGCACAGTTTACAGATATATGAATTTATAAATATCAGTCAAATAAACATTAGAAATCAATGAGTAATTGAACCTGCTCAATGTCTCGGCCAATAGCTGCTAACCTTGACGTGTCGGTCGCCAGGCTTGCATATCACGATAACCCAACAAGCTTCACTGTATGGAACTATTGCTCCTGCAGGTCCTACCACGCCAGGAAGATTCTTAAGACTGAAACCAGTTACCGGAACAGTGTAAGATTTTTTTACACTATGCTGGGGGCCTGTGGACAAAGTCGTACCGCTAGGGAACAGGGATGTAACAGCCGCAGTAAGCTGTTTCCCTCAGATGACCAGCATGCCCCCCAGCAATGCTGTCTCTCCACTCTGGAGGGAGGGGATTAGAAAAGGTCGACCTCGAAAATTGTACACCCCGACTTACACCACCTACGGTGGTCCGTAACCTCCGGTAAGTTACTAAGACAGAACCAAACCAAAAAGCCAATTCAAACAGGCCATGTGTGACCGACCTCAAGCAGTTGTCGGCTAGACTCTGTGATCACGCAACACTAATTCTGTTTCTGTTTCAGGTACCCGAAGAAAAATTCAAGTTCCACAGTGTGGGGAGCCGAGAAGTAATAACCGCCCACCCACTTCCAAAAGCACACGACCCCCGTGACTCCTCATTGTCTCTCACCCTTGAAGGTTCCGGGTTCGTCTCCTCTAGGAAGGTCATAGGTGTTTATCGTTGCAGTGTCCAAAACTAGAATAAAACAGCTGTCCAATATCCCCCTCCCCTTCCGCATACCCTAATCAATCATGAGATAATAATGCATGGTACCATTTTAATGGATAAAAATTACTTTAAAGCGTAATAATATTTTTTTTTAAAAGATTCATTAAATATATGAATTGACTTAAAAATGGACAAACAGATAACCATGGCTCGTCAATTATAAAGTAAATAATTTCTTTTTACAAACATTTTGCTGTAGAAAACGAGAGAAAATCGATAAACTAGGTGAGGGAAGGGGTGATGGTGTTTTGGAATGTGGAAAAGAAAAGGCAATTTAACTGGTGTCATCAAAGGTTGTGTTGTTTTTCCAAAAGCAAATATCAACTAATCTAACTTTACATTGATTACTATCACAAAAATAGGGAAGGTTGACGCTGTGATAGGTAGGTAGGTGCCTTACAAAACTTAGTGTCTTTAATTTGCTTGACAATCTCCACTAATAATAATACTGTATACGAGTTACATCACCGTACAAAAGCAGCATGTCTAAAAACCAGTCCAGAGATCGACCTCTTTGTCCACACCTGTATTAACTGACAGAGGATCAGGTTGGAAACGAGCTATCTACTGATGGTCAAAACAAAACATGGCTTCATCAGTCAATGAAATCCACGTAGGGAGGTGTAGACTGCTTGGCTGGTTTGGGTGCCCAGGATGGTAAAAACCAATGAAGAGTGGAGACAATTGGTGAAATGGCTCAAATTCATCGTTTTCAACGGCTGGCGCAGATGCATTCACTCTTTGTGATTTAAAATATCCAATAAAACTATATTGTTCTTTCAACATACTACACTTCTATTTATTATTTCTCTTTTGAGCCTCTCTTTACTCTCTTGTCTTGCTTTGTGTTGAGTGCGGCAACTTGAACTGGTGCACATCTGTGCAAGGTTCTATGTTGAAAGCAGACAGTCGGTCAGTTAATCCATCTAACTGTAAGCTTTGTCCCACAATACTGTGTGGTTGTACAATCATCAGTGCATACGATGGAACTGCTAAGTGTTTTTTTTCCGCTGTTGGTCGTCTTTTGAGGATCAGTCACTTCACACTAAGCTAAATATCCTTATACTGCGATAACCCAAATGACAACGATCCACACGATTCTGTCTGTCTGTCTGTTTTCGACATAGAACTTTGCACATATGTGCAGCAGTTCAAGTCGCCACACTCCCTCCTTGTAGCACACAAAGCAAGAGAAGAAAGTAGGAGAAATGCATAATATAGACAGTAAACACAGGTGTGAGACAAAGGAATAGTATTAACGAAGAACAAAACAGTTTAATTGGAAGTCATAAGTCACAAGGAGTGGATGCATCTGAGCCAGCCATTGACAACGATTTTGAGCCATATTACCAATTTTTTCCAACCATTGGTCCGCAAAACAGGAAGTCTACACCTTCCTACGTGGCTTAGACTAACTGTTGTAGATTTCATTGACTGGTGCCATGTTTTAGTTTGACCGCCGCTAGCTCTTTTTTCAGCCTGGCCCTATATCAGCTAACATTGCCTATCGGTCGAGGAAGGCGATGACTAGGCATACGTAATACATGTCCTAACCATCTCAATCGATGTAATTTCACAGCCTCGTCTATTGATTTCCCCGCCTTACTTAGCACTCGATCGACGCCTAACCTCAAAATTGCTCACCTTATTATACCACTTCACACGGGAGATAGAGCGCAGACACCTATGATCAAAGACAGCTAATCTTTTCCTGTCTTCCACTCCCAATGGCCAGGTCTCACAGCTAGCCATAAAGGAGGACGGAGCGGACTGCTGAGCAGTACACCCACCTTTTGGTCGATAGCCAGATATCAACTCCACGCCAGAGACGGCATAGACGTGATATCCGGCTATCGATACGATTAAACTATGATGCAGTTAGCTAACCCTACACTGTTCACGAATTCTATTCTTATATCAATATAGCGGCTTATTGGATCAGACAGCCGTTACAGAAAGAATATGTATATAGGGGCGTGATGACAGTTTCACACCCAATCTAGACGTGATTCGACAGGTATTTGAATTTTATTTTTCTAAAAAAGGCGGGTTTACAAACAGTTGAGAAACACAGGGCATAGCATGCATACCTATAAACTTTATACCAACTATACAACATAACAGTATGGCATAATAATAATAGTAAATAGAAATTAATAACAATAATGGTGTTAGTGATTTACATGTTTTCACAAGTTTATACGATAAATTTTCTCTTTATAATATAGATGGACACACACCAGTTTCTACATGTGTATCTGTCTATCTTTGTTGTGCTTTTTTCTCTTTCAGGAGAGTCAGCTCTGCTTCTCTCCCCCCCCCTCCACCTATATACACTCTTGAGTCAAACTATTTTTCAAGTGTTGGTTTGTAGGGATTTGATTGGTTGATTGCTGAAGAGTCCCAAACTAGGACGAAACAGCTGTCCAGTACTCCCTGCAGGTTTTCCAATGGTTCTCTAACTAATGTCAGCTCATGATGAAAACTATTTTTCATGGGGAATATATACACATGCTGTCCACTTTGTTATTGCTTCTTTATGTCAAGAATATTCTACAGGCGTCTTGTATGTAGGTGCGTATGTGTAGGTAGTTTCATTCTATTGGTCAACATTAGTATGCAATATGAAAAAATGCTGCATACATACACTTCGCATTAAGGAGGAGTAGTCTACTTCACACACACACACACACAACTACACAAGGAAACACGACACGGTGTCTTTTTCCTCTCTCAGAAAAAAATCCCTCAGACATATCACAGTGGTGAATGGTGAATACAGCCTCCATTTAGAGAATAAAATGACTCATACGTTTTTGTTCGTATTCCAGTAAGTAAGTAAGTACGTAAGCAATTAACCAACCAACCAACCAATCAGCTAACTGATAAACACATCAAGCATAAAGTTAGAGTGAAGTCAATAAACGTCACTTAAAAAATTAAGCATAAAGTTATTATATTCCTTCTTGTCTTTGTTTGATAGTACAGTACGCAAACACTAAGACAATGACACTAACAGATGATGTACTTGTGTGTGTGTGATAAGAAGGAGACTCTAACTGACTGACTGGCTGACTGAGTTTTCCACGTAGAGAAGTATGCAGAAAAGTGTAGG